TAATATTGATCTAAATAGTGAGTACTCTACAGTTTCTAAAAAATAAGCTAAAGAGTGACTAATAAACTAATAAACTAGAGTCTCTGGTCTAATTCCTTTTCTGGGTTAAAAGTGAGTACTCCACAGTTTCTAACAAAATTAAAAAGAGGAAAGGACACATTAGGGCACATGGCAACATTCAGACAAACAAAGACATGAGTGAAGGCGGTGATGTCACAGGGCCATGAAACCACGTTGTTGTTATCGAGGAACATCCTTGGGAGCGCTCAGCTCCACAGCTGCCTGGATAACAGGAGGGGGTGAGGTGGGAAGGAGAGTTGTGTTTGCATATCTTCAAGGAGATTAGAGATATGCAGCCCTTCCAAGGCCACATGGGGAAAGCCAATTCGTAAACAAAATGTCTTAGGTCGGGAAGATTATAAATTTCAATCTTCCCTAAAATCTCTCCGATACATCTCAGTTCCCAATTATCCAGATTAGTTTGGTCGTTCCACTGAACCGAAACTAGCAACTTCTCCAAGATCAATTCCATCCCGTTAGTGAGTTTTAGAGTCCTCAGCTGGGCTGCAAGTCTCAGCAAGACTCATATCCAACTTGCGTCTCTGTCCACACCAACAGTCTGAGTGTTCGCTAGTTTGGCTAAGTCCATCACATATTTGTTGATAAGCCAGGAATCCGCAAGCTCCAAACAGCAGAAATTCTGTTATTATGAATTAATCCAGGGTGAATCCCGTCGAGAAAATTTGATCAATTGCATTTAGAGACCGGTTGACCAGATCCATAATTTGTAGATTGGGAGGATGTGCAAAGAAAAGCTCCAAAAATATAGAACAAGACAGGACAAAAACAGAGCAGGCAGGGCAGGGAAGGGGAGGGAGGGACAGTCAAGTGTAAAACAAACAGAAATGTCTTTATTTATAAAAGTAAAAGCCGAAATTGAAACATTTATATGTCAACCTACTTTATGATTAATGCAGCTAATAATGAATTGACTTCTTGACGTCACTCATACATTATGTATAGTTTGTTTTTGCCAATAATTGACTTCAGTGAAAAGTGTTGAAGACAGTATATTACAAATATGAAATCAACGCTGACATCCTGCTGCTCGTCCTTCAAACCTCTAAAGATGATAGTCTGAAACAATACACAAACCTACTCAGCATAAACAGTTGGTTGTCTTGTTTTCTTTCCAGAATCAAAGTTCCTGATTGCAGCATCATTCCTTATTTTGTCGGCATTCATCTACCTGAGTCCCCTGCTCATCCACTCACCCTGTTTGATCGACATAAAGGAATTAAATTTAACTAAACCAGACCTCTGGGGCCACAGAGGAGCACCAATGGTGAGCATCCTGTTGAACAAAACAAAAACTTAAAAATAAACAACCTGCATGGAAAGAAGTGCAGTAATATTTAATTGAAACATGTTATTTATTTAAGAATCAATATTGAGGTGTGTTGGGTAACAACAAGGCATTTTTTTCTTATTTTTGAAAGTGTTGCACCGTTGCAAGTCATATGAGGGGGCCCATATGGCCTGCATCTGCAGCCGTGCTCAGCTGCTCCATCAACAATAAGCTCCATTTAATATAATGTGCACTCAGTTTTGTGTACTCTCACAGCCTCAGGGTAGTTTGTGCAAAAAAGTTTCTCACTCATGTTCTGACTGTGTTCAGCTGGCCCCAGAGAACACCATGATGTCCTTTGAAAGGAGTGCAACAGAGTGCAACGTAAAAGTATTTGAGACTGATGTGCAGCTCAGGTAGGGTGAAATTGTTTACCGCTTTTATTCATTTTGCCCTTTAATATTTCTATTAACATTTATCATCAATGCTTTTGTGAGGATTGTTTGTAAATGTGGCAGATAAAAATGAAGCATTTACAGGAGTCTGAATAATGATTGTTCATTTAGCAAAGACAGAATTCCCTTTCTGATGCACGACCATGAGGGCGAATTCCTCAAAAGAACAACAAATGTGACACAAAAGATTTCTTATGGCAATGAGGTGGACATGAGCACGCTTAAGTCTCTAAATGCAGGGAAATGGTTCATAGAGGTGAGTGCTGCCTCTGATATGAGCCTCGCTACAAGTTTGAATTTTTAAAACGAGTAAAAAACACTAAAATGATCTGTGTCTTTCCAGAACGATCCTTTTCAAACTGTTCACCTGCTCACCAAAAGCCAGAGAGAGACAGCTGACAGTCAGACTATTCCTGAACTGAAGGATCTTCTAGACCTCGCCAAACAGCACAATATTTCCATTATATTTGACTTGTATCGTCCCGAAAACTGTAGTAAAACTAATGACACTGAGGACACTGTGAAAGAGATCTTGGATTCAGGAATCAACCACGAATTGGTAAGTTTAAACGTCCTTGCAAGTTTGAAAACATTTCATTTTGCAGGATTTTAAAGCCTTGTCTTGCTCTAGATCTACTGGCTTCCACCACAAAACAGAGAATATGTGATGAAGACTTCAAACTTCATCCAGGTGTACAACAATACAAAAGAGATGTCTGCACAAAATAGAGCTCACCTTAATGTTAAATACAGTGACCTGCCTGCAGATGAAATCAGGTAAGACCTAAGAACAAGATGAAAACCAACAAAAACAAAAAACACTTAGATTGTCTGCAGATACTGTTTTTATTGGGGTTGGCATGCACAGTAGTGTAGTGAGTAGAAGCATGTCTGGACAAGGTGCCAGTGCTTTACATGTGAAACTTGGCTCAAGGGGATACAGACGAATAACGTCCCGAACCTAAACGGGTGTTGTTAAACGGATGAGCAGTCATAAAACATTTACTAAGGAATGAAAAACAGTGTTGCAACATGTTTAAAGGAGTTCATGAATCGGAGCAGTTCACTGACTTTTTGGAAGTGTTGCGATGCAGCAAAAACATTAACCGCTGCATTCCTTTGTGACACTGGATTTTCACATTTATACAACAAAACTTATTATTGATCATGTTTACATTTGCATGCCTGGTGAGAAGTCATGCCTGTGTGGCATGAGTCGTCAACGACCAAACTAAATCTTTTAGATTTCTGATCCTGGGAACTTTTAATTAAGAGAAAATAAACTGATACTGAGAAAACATTTACATTTAGTTTAACTTATTGTGCTTCTGCACCCCTGTTGAGAAACACTCTGGGCACATACGTACTCATTTGGCCAATTTTAAATATTGCTACTTATGAGAGGACTATATCTAAAAGAGCTTCACTCTTCTTAATGCCATGTCTTGCTTGGCTTAGATGTTTTGTGAATTTGCAGCGTGTTGTTCATGGCTGAGGAAATCCACCTGCTGACTTCAAGAGCCAGCTGAGAAGAGACGGAACTGAAATAAGCATTTTCTGGTCTCCTTAGCACGATCTTAAAATTTGCTAATGTTCATCTTTAGAATATACAAACGGTTTCTTTTATTCTAAAGAATCACGAGGAATATTAAGTCTTAATGTCTGACACATTCATTTCATCTTCATTTTGCCTTCATTTGGATCTTAAACATGACAGAGACTCTAGCTACTGCCCTCTTCTGGCCAAGGAAGGTTAGTTCAGTATGTCAGTAGATCCTTAACTTTTGTCAGATGTTAAAAAAAAGTTTGTAAAAGACTGATTCAAAAACAAAACATTTTGAAAAATATCGATCAATCTTTTGGTAGTTTAGATTTAAATACATGCAAAGTTTGCAAGGAACTTTTTTATGGAATAGATGATGAAAGTCGCATTGCCCTGACAGCAGTGTGAGTCTGTCCACTTCTACAAATCCACTCTGGATTAGGTGTGTTAAGACAACTGTTGTCAAGGCAAACCGTAGTTTAAATAGTCCAGAAATAAAATACTATGAACCAAAATTCACTGAGTGAGATATAATCCATGTTAAACTGAGGATGGAAACAGTGACTGGTGATTGACTGCAACATTTGGTTGTTAAAAACCGTGCACCCACTATATGGTATTAACGTTGCTTATGATGATAAAATTGCTAAAGCATTAGCTACGACTTCAAAGCTGCAAAAATTTCCATCATACTGTCTGCAGAGTTTATAAGTCCTTCTAATGAGATGCCAGACAAACGTCTGATTGCTGTCAGGATAGAGTAAAGCGGCGGCACCCTGAAAGAGCTACTCTTTCCTCACTTATGAGTCAGACAACTATGGCAATTGATAGTTGCGAAAACACAGGCAGCCATGTTGTGGAAGCTTAAGTTTCATCAATCAAGACTGTTATTAACGTAGTGCTGTATTTATACCACAGGTGACACAGTGCAAGAGGCATGTTTGTAAAGCAGCAGACTGCAGGCTAGACCTGAGAAAGGTCAACTAATTAAATCAACTTATACTTTGAGAGTTGATCTATAAACAACAAAAGGACAATATGGTGTAATATTTTTGATTTATGGGCTAATCTTGTAGGTTCTTATTCTATAGTTTTCTTAGGTTTGTGTGTTAAAATCTAAAAAAAAAGGTAATTTTCACAAAAGGCTGGAATAAAATGCATGCCCATGTCTATTTTGGGTTACTTCCTGGTGGTTTCCTTTGCATTTTTCTAATGCATTTACACAAATCTTTAAATCACAAAAAGACCAACTTATATAGATGTGTCAATTTGAAGTATTTTAAAGACAATTGGAAATGTGCAATGCTGTAAAACAGGATTTTGCTCACTTTCAACAAGATTCCTTGTTGGAAGGTTTTACATCATCAAACAATTCTAAATATCAGATTAAGTATTTAACTCCGTTTTTAAATTCCATTTGCAATAAGCGATGCAATATTATCAAAATTCAGCACCTGAGGGGTGATTTAGGTTATTGTTGAAGACAAGCTTGGGTGCTGCTGGTATTCATGCTGATGCTACTGTGACACGAACCATCCACCTACACTGTGCTGCAGACCAAACACTCCTCCCCATAGCAACAGCAGGATAATAAGCACTGTCACAGTGCAAAAACTGCTCACACAGTGTTAAGCAGACGGTTTTAATTTTGCAGCTGGGTCATTCATTTACACACAGTTACAAACATACATTTACTTAAATACACACACAGTATGAGCATTTATGGTTCCTGCTTTGAATTTACTCCTAGTTTATGGTATAACCCATCTGCTGCCTTTATGTGTTTACAATATCACAGTCCTGAATGTTCTTTTGTATCTCATGCTGAGTTTATATCCGACAGGAACTTTCGAAAAAACGGCACTAAAGTGAACATGTATGTGGTCAATGAGCGCTGGATGTTCTCTCTGCTGTGGTGTGCAGGAGTCAGTTCAGTCACTACTAACAACTGCCAGGTGTTTAGCAAAATGGAGCAGCCTGACTGGACCATGGTGAGTGATGTGCATACATGCAGTAACAGTGGCTGCTCGTTTGTTCCTCCTGCTCCAGCGGTTTAATTATCAACTGATCATCCAACACTTTCATGGTTCCGTTTTGTACCACTTCTTTCTGAACTCTGTGATCCTGGATTGTATGTTTCAGGCACCTTCTGTTTATAGAACATTATGGATTTCAGTAGATGCTGCATCCATTTTGATAATGATTGCTGTCTTTGTCTATCACCGGTAAGCTAACTACAGTTTTTTTTTTTTATTGAAAAATGTGGATGATTTTGCACTAATCTTTTTCTTTGTGTGTGGCAGGAAAACCAAACGTTCCCATCACAGAGAAGGTAAAATTAGTTAAAATAAAATTTACACATCATCCTTCATATGCAACCCTAACTTCATTTAAATATCAACTAATCTACTGTCTGTTTTCTTATTTTAATAAATTAATGTCACTTGATTAAAGCTGCAGTTATTAACAAATAGATGTTACTACATATTTATTGTGACAGTATAAGACACATAATCTGAGAAAAACTTGAGCTCTTCTCCTAGTACTAACTAGTACTAACTGAAGAAACACACCACTAAATCTGAAATAACCAATCAGAGCCAGGAGGAGGTTCTTAGCGCTGTCAATCAGTCTCATGCTCATCTCCTCCCTTTGAACGCCGCCTCCTCACCACAACATAGCCTGCTACGAATGCTAAAGCTAGTTAGCATGGTCACTAATGACGGGAGATAATTGGTTTTACTGTAACAGTAAGCTACAGTACACTTAGCAGCACGTACATGAGGTGGATTGACACACTAAGACCTTTTTCCTGGCTCTGATTGGTTGTTTTTGACCGGGAGCGGTGCTATTTTTTGCAGACCACAGTAATACATAGCACTAGTGGACAGAAGTGGAGGAGCTTGACTTTTTTCATAGATTATCTGTCTTATGACATTCTGTCACAAAATGGAGGCAGTTTTAACAAATCAATCGATCAATCAATCAATCAATCAATCAATCAATCAATCAATCAAATTATGGAAATATAAATATGGAAGAAACACATTTTTGTTAAAGTTACTGCATCTTTAAGCCCAGGTAATATTCCCACCTTCAGCGTTCTTAAGAATTTTAATTTTTCTTGCGGCTGAAACTTTTAAATAATTTTCCTTGTCAACAACGGATATTGATATATCTTTTTTTATTATTATTTTATCTGTACCAGGAAGAATCAACACTTTTGATGGGCTTGAATTGCTCCTTTAGTTTGAACTTGACAGGCATCAGAAGACCTAAAGCCATCTTGGATCCATTTCTGGGTCACCACAGCAGCTAAACGCTTCATCAGGTCTAAAGAAAGAAATAAAATGTCATCCCCACACATTTTTGTATTAAGCTGTGAAAAAGGAAATAATTTTTTACTGATTTTTAAAAAAGATTTTATTCACATATCATTAATATGCCACTGGATGGTGTTTGGTTGCAAGAGTTTTTACGTTTAAAGGTTTATCTTTTTGCTAAATAAAATACAGTGCCTTTGACCTTCTGATTGTATTAAGATCTGAACTGCTTTCTCTTTGCACTATATTTTTGTACAATTTAAGGAAAGCTACAAATAAGCCTGAAATGTTTCATAACCCCGGTGGATTTAGAGTAAAAATTTTTCCAAGTCCAAGTTGTCAGATTTCCTATCAGATTCAAGACGAGACTCTGGCTGGGTTACTCTAAAACACTATTATTAATGCCAGTCAAAAAAATCATATTGGTAAAATTAAAACAACTTTAAACATAAATCTGCCATGAGTATGAATCATTTTAAGCTAAACTACAGCTACACTACACCATGGAAACATATCTGTAACCTGAGCCAAATTAACCAGAATGTTTGTTGTTATTTTGTGTGTGTGCTGCTGTTTGAGTTGTATTCTGTGTGTAATCCCAACACTTTATTCTCAGGGAATAAACAACACCCCAAATTTGATCCATTTTATGAGTTAAAAAGAAAGTATGAAAATTACAGAACTGTCAAAATTTCTCCAATATGGATTACTTTTGGATCCAACATTTACCAGATTTTTGTGACATAGAAAACTGACGATAAAATATTTCAAATGTTTTTCCATTTTTCAATGTGGCATGTCTTGTGTAAAATCCAGTAATGGATTCATTTATTTCACATAAAGTTAAGATGTTGTAATAGGCTGTGTTCGTTTTCAACCTTTAAATACAACCAGTTTGCAGAAATGTGACCTTTTCTAAATTTTTACAGTGAACTCAGAAAGAATAATGAATCTAGATCACTGTGATGTACATTCTTTTTTAAAGATTTTATTAACTGTTTAATAACAAGATAAACATGTTTTTTTTTCTAATGTCTTTTTTTTCACATTTTTTAGCATCATATATTAAAGGGAAAAAATAACATTTGTATAATCTTCATTTAAAGGTGTGTTTTGTACTGAATTAATACTGTACAAAATTACAATAAATTTGGTGGAATAGCTTTTTTAAAATTATGTTTATATTTTTTAAATACAGATTTAAAATAAAAACAAAAATTAATTCATTTAAAGCCTTGTATACAGAGTATGATGTTTTTCATGCACAGTATTAATTTCTGATGTTGTAAATGTTGTCCTTACTTATTGAATATTGTTTTTGTTGTTACTGTTGTTTTACCTTTGTGTAAATATAAATGCTCACACTGAACTTGCTGCTGTGAAACTGGGATTTCCCCACTGTGGGGCAATAAAATATATTTCTATTTTGTTAGAAAAATAAGTAAACAAATAAGTAAAATAAAAAATACATAAAACACAAAGCAGTGAGTTGGACTGCTGGCAATCACATTGCATGCTGTTTAACGCACCAATAATTAGACCATTTTAAACAATACCCAGTTTTATTTATCTTATTGAAGACCTAGCTATAGTGCTTATTAAAAGTATAATCCGAATGTATTCATATTTTGCATGATTAATTTTATTGCAACTATTTATCTGAACATATTTTCAGAGTTGTAATAAAAGCATTTATATTTAATATATATTTCATAAAGCAACATAAATATTAAAAATGGGATAGAGAGAATGATTAGAATGTTAAATTCAACCAAAAGATTCGAGATTTTAATCATCGTGCCTACATTACCCAGAATGCAGCGCTGCTACCAACCGTTGTGTGGAGATTTGGGTGTGTTATGCTAGTAGCTGCCATGGTAGCGGCTACTGTAGTCTCCATCCGCTAGCCTCCAAGAGGGATGAGGAGCCGGCTAAACAGCACTGGTAAGCAAACTTATTTAAACTACTGACATATTTTATCTGAGACTTTAAACCTGTAGTCTACGATCCCACCTACGGTTGAATCACTTGAGCCATTTTACCAGTTAACGTTTTCATTCCTGGAGCTAACCAGCCAGGTTCGTAAAGTCGGTGGAGTTCTCCTTTAAACTGTGATTTATTTCAGCACTACGTTATGTCGCCACAAGATGGCGCGCACTTCAAGAAGATGTTAACGAGACGACTTCACGTTGATAAAAATAAAAACCGCTCAGCCTTCCTAAGGCTAATTACCGCGGATGATGATGGGTAAAACATGGTATAGAATGTAAATTAGAGAGTTTAATATATTTTTTAAACTCTTACGTACGGCTGAGTCAGCGGATCTTTTCCATGATGGCGAGGCAGCGACGCTGAAGTTAGCTTCTGATTCGGCTTCACTGTAAAGGGCTATTTCACAAATTTAAAAGACTATGAAAAAGATCAACCTTGTTTTAAAAACTAAATACTTGACTTGTTAGACCTGGACTATATTTTATTAAGACATGCCTTTGTAAAAAAAACTTTATTCTATTTTAAAATGGCCATCGATACATATTTGACACCCTCACCACCTCTACACTCACGAAACATTTGATTTGGTGAAACTTCAATAACATACAATAAAATTGTACTTTGAATGTGTTTTCAGTGTGGATATATACTAGCTATAGAATAAATTTGGTTTGCTTTGACAGGGTGAAAAAAAGTAGACCTTACACCCAGGGATGGTGGAAACATCTACCTCTAAGCATATGTAATGTCATTTACCTTGCTGTGTTTGTTCTAATTAAGTCAGATTTAAGTACAAACTTTACCAATTCCACTCTAACACCTTCTTATTTAGCTATTCAGAGTTGGACTTGCTGGTGTTCTTGAGATGTTTGTTCTGCTGCACCAAGTCGGCTTGAGTACCTGAACTAATTCTGTTCTGCTGGAGAACAGAACCCGTAGTTTTATCAATTACAGTACCTGGAAACGGCAAAACACTCCCACACCATGATAGCATCACCACCATGTTTGACTGTGTGTATGTTGCTTTTTTTAATGCTGTGCTAGTTTTATTGAGGGTGTAACAGGACACAGACCTTCTAAAAAGTTCCACTTTTGTCTTGTCAGTCCACTGGATATTTTAAGTCTTGGTCATAAAGATGTGCTTTGGCTAATGTGTCTTTGTCTCCATTGGTTGCATCTGAAACCCATCAATGACTTCCTGGACTTGTTGATGCAATACTGACAAATGCCAATGACTTTGTTTCTGATTCTGTTTTTAAATGTGGCTTTCAAGATCTTTTGAACTACATTTCACCAGTGTGGTCTGTGGATCTGCAGATTTTCAGGCCTGGCTTTAGGTAATAAACTCTGCTTTCAAAAAAAAAAATTTGAAAACTGCAATTCATATATATATATATATATATATATATATATATATATATATATATATATATATATATATATATAAAAATAAAATGTTATAACAATAGATCACTGACATTCACGGTAACTGTATTGTGACGGACATTTACTTGTGTATATTTATACTGTCCAAGTTAGAGCACTATGAGTGATTCAGAGTTTTAACTAGAGCTCTTTGTAGACTTTGCGCTTTCAAATAAAAACACAACAGAGTGAAATAGCCCTGTACAAATCAGAGGCGAACTTCGGCATCGTGGCGAGGCATGTGTCCAATGGTAGGAGGGACGTGACATGGACCGGGGGCCGATTTGCCCAAAACTTCTGGGAAAGTTAACATGAAGTAAACAGACTCACCCAGTCACATCTCTGCTTCACGTAGTGGATCATACTGGTGAAGTCAGTTTGGCAAACTGGGAGCCGCGAGGGGATTTTAAACTGGAGATGCAACTTTTATAAGAAAGGCTGTTTATTTTGTTATTTTATCTTAAAACCAAAACATCTTTTGTATAAATGACGTTTCAAGTCGCGCCCTCCATGGTGCATAAATATGGTAAGTACTTCTCCATCTCTCTAATTAGTGTTTCCTGTAAGTTTTAGTTACATTTTCAGGTTGATGCCTTCGCATTGATGAACCCAAGCGATCGTTTTTGTTTTTGCCTCTCTAATCTCAGCTGAAATCTCAGGAGAAACCCGAATTACTTTTTCTGGCCCTTAGGGGTTAAAAAGAGGTGAAAAAATCCCGGGGACTTCCACTTCCGGGCTGCGAATGATTTCTGACGGAGTTTTTTTTTTTTTTTTTTTTTTTTCTCAATTATCGATCAGTGTTCAGGCTCAGGTATTGCAAGCAGATTTACCTTCGTGATGTGCATCATCTCTCTGCCCTCACCACCCACCGGGTTCAACAACACACAGAGCTGCCTCCGTGTAATATATGCAACTTATTTCTGTCAGTGACAAAAATATAAATGTTTCCCTTTCGGGGTTTCTTTCCCAAAGCTTAAATGCAAGTTTATCGCATTATAGTACAATAAACAATATAGCACACTAGTAACTGTAGAATTCAGCTTGAGTATTTTCACTTTTTTCCCATTACAACCACAAATTTTATAATATATGTAATAGGTGAGACGTCTGCAACCTTTATAAACAAAGAACAATTTTTACCTTCAGTTCAACTCTTTTTGAACTGCAAATGTTACATGACCTTTTGAAAAAGAACAAGTTATAATTTTAGATAAATCTACTCAAAAGTGTGTAGAAACTAGTTAAATTTACTCAGGTGCATTTATTGGAGTGACGTTTTGAGAGAAAAAAGAACTTGGAGGGGTAAATTTATCACACTGTACTTTTTGCTTCTATTTGGGTAATAGTATAATGAAGTATAACTTAGTGAATGAAGAACAAACATTTCAATCAAAAATGCACCAGACGGAGAAACACACCTAAAATTTATGGAAAAGTGTCTCTTCTGCCTATTTAAAAAAAATTAAATAATGTTTCAATAAAAAAAAAAAATTAAGAAGAAATACAAATGCATTACTTTTTTATATAACTGTAGTCTTTTAAATACAAAAATTTGCACATGGTTTATTATTTTTGTCTGTCTGATTACATAATTTTTAAATATTAAATCATGTATTGTGATCAGACTGCACAAACTGGAATATTTTTTTAATTTAAAACAGCTTCCCAAATTATGAGCATCTCAATCCATCATTAGGAAATGTAAAAGACTTCAGCCCAACGTCACAACTACAGACACATGGCTGTCCATCTAAGCCCTCAGATGGACCGATAATCAGAGCGTCATCTAAGAGGCTCCTGGTGTCTTTGGAGGAGCTGCATAGATCTAAAGCTTAGGTAGGAGAATCTGTTAACAAGAGACCTATTGGTAGAACACTCTACAAATCTAACACCTATGGAAGAAAGACAAAGAAAGAAAGCAAAAATAAGTTATGTTTGCTACAAGCCATGTAGAAGAAAGGGCTTTGATCAGATTCAAAACTGAACTTAATTGAAACACACCATCTATGGAGAAAAGCTAACACTGGAAATAAGCATATTCAAGCATTAGGACTCTCTATCCAGTCTGAGACCCAGTAAATATCCACAGCTGGATATTTGGGAAAACAAATACATTTTGATGTGCTTTTTCCTTTCATCCACACGGAAACTCAGTGTAATATCACTAAAACTATTACTTATAAAACCTCTGACCAAAACCAAGATTTGAGAAAACGTGTGTTTGTGTTTGTACGTGTAAACAGTAAAATAATCCCACGCATTAGTCTGTGATAAATAATGCACTGAATCTAAATACTCACTTTGATGTGATTGTGATGAATTGTGAACACTTCATTGTAAAAGTGCTGTTAAGAAATGCACCTGTTTTGTGATGCAGACACAGAGAGGGCTGTGGGGCTCCTCAGACAATACCAGGCCAACCTGACCAGCCCAGAGGAGCAGGCCTTGAAGACCAGTGTGGGCAAAGTGTCTGCCATCTTGGGCAGCCAGCTTTTCCAAGCTCTTCTCGGTAAGGAAAACAACACAAAGTAGTTTACTTTGACACTATTCAAGTCTTTCCAAACTTTACCCTTTAGCTGAAATTATAGCTGTTTCTCAATATGAACTTTTTAAATGTGGACAGCTTATTTTTATTTGTGCAGCTGTCTGCAAACCGAAAGGGAGCGAACAGACAGGGTCACATTTTATTCATTTTTATGGGACGTTAACTGAGTCCACACATTTCCCAATTAAGCTTTATGAAAGAGGCCTTTCAGTGTCCCCCACAAAGGTTTGCTCTATGCCATCCCCCAACTTTGTAGCATTCTTGGATTTTAACAAAACCCTATTAAAGCCAAAACAGTCCATATATACACTAATTGGTATTAATCCAGGGCATTCTGGTACATTTCTCACACCGAATTGACCACATATTCTCTTTTGTACCCTATGCTTTATGAAACTGAACTCACTTGAGTTGACCATTAAGTTTTTATAATTGCTGTTGTCATTGTTGGTAATGCTAATCCTAAAGTGTTCTCATATAAAGAGCTGCTGTAACCACCTACACCTTCATGACTAGTTTGGTGTTTTGGAAAGAAAAAGAGCTTGAGGGCTCAGGGTGAACATAGCATTTCTTTCTTTTTTTTACAGCAGATAAAACACGTTGCTTCTTTTTAACCAATGGTTCAGTGGTCCCTCTA